GCCGTCTCTTGCTTCTCTGTGGCAAATGGTCAACTTGGATCGTAGACTGACCTTTCTCTCGCTGCATCAGTTTGGCATCCGCAAGCTCGAAGCGTTCTTCGTCGCACTCATTGCCGTCATGCTCGCGTGCTTTTGCATGAACCTCGCCCAAGGCGGCGTGGATCCGATCCCGGTTCTCGACGGCTTTCTGCCGCGGCCGCCGTCGCGCTATGCCACGACGCAAGCAGTTGGTATCCTCGGCGCGGTCATCATGCCCCACAACTTTTATCTGCACTCGGGTCTCGTCCAGTCCCGCGCTGTGGATCGAACCAACGCCCGCAAGGTCCGCGAAGCCAACAAATATTTTACGATCGAGTCGGCGGTCGCCCTTTTCGTGTCGTTTCTGATCAACCTCGCGGTACATGACGACAATATTGCTGTGTGTACAACCTGTCTTGCCTTGGACTAGGTCATGTGCGTGTTTGCCAAAGGCTTCTTCTCGCCCGACTGCCTCCAGTCGTTCGAGACACATGGCGTCAACACGGCGTGCGTTCCGCTCAACACGTCGACGACCGAATCGTATGGGTCGTGCCAGCTCATGGAAGGCTCGCGGGCCATGGTACACAAATGATATTCTTATGCGAAATTGGAGATTGAACCCGCAACGTGAAATAGGGCGTGTGCCAAGAAATTGGGCTCTCGGGTGCTGGCCTCGCCCTCCGCGGTGTTCTCGACGAGTACTCGGAGACGATCTGGGCGATTGGCCTCCTCGCTGCCGGCCAGAGCTCGACCATGGCCGGCACGTACGCGGGTCAGTTTGTCATGGAAGGTACGTCATCTTGTCCACTATTTTAATGACAATATGTGTATTCTTCATTAGGTTTTCTCCGGATCCAGTTGGCGCCGTGGAAGCGTGTGGCGCTGACGCGTGCGGTGGCGCTCGTGCCGGCCCTCGCTGTTGCGATCTGGTCCGACACGCAACCGGGGTACGCTTCACTGTTTGTATCAACTTGATAATCTGAAACTCGTGTTGCTACAGGGCCAGTGATACGATTGGCGAGATGCTCAACGTGCTGCAGTCGATCCAGCTGCCGTTTGCGCTGCTGCCCATCTTGCATTTCACGAGCCACGCGGGTTTGATGGGCGCCTTCGTCAACTCGACAACGACCAAAGCCGCGGGCTGGGCCGTCGCGCTCCTCGTCTGTCTCGTCAACCTCTACCTCGTCGTGCAAAAGGTTGATGTGAGCGAGATGGGCCCAGTGTCCCTTCTCGCGTTCTTCTCGGCGGGTACGGGCTACGTGGCTTTTCTTGCGTACCTCGTGCACACAGAGCTCCAGCAGTATGCGTGGTACCCCTGGACGCGCAAGAACTAGAGCTGTCGATAGACTAGTGTCGAACCAGACAAATCGCACTTATGCACATTTGCTGCGAGGCGCCCACTGCGTTGCAACCTTGAAAGATGTCCTACCGTGGAGTTGACAGCTGGCTACACAAACACGACGCCGAAGTGATGGCGTCGTGTGGACAGGCGAGGACAGCGCGAATCAATCAACTCATCTTTGTTTCTGACCACTTTTTAGCCAATCAACGATGCGAACACGGCAAAGATATAGAGAATGACGGTCCTGTCAAACCCACACACTTCAACATCATTCAAGACGTTCTTTTATTCGGCGTCGCGTGTCTTTTAATGCGCTGGTTTCTTTTAACCTTGAAAAGCTCGTTGCAGTTGAGAATGTGCCGTGCAGCCCACAGACAAGCCGTCCATCCTCTCGATGCCATGCCCCGTCTCTCACGTCCTGTCACTCCGGGAGACCCGCTGTTGCGTCACGAGCCAGAACGAGACGCCCGCGTCCGCTGAGATGGTGGCTGGCTTCAAGGCCGAGGTCGCGACGATTTAGAGTGACGTCCGTCCGTCGTCACGCTCGACTCGATCAAGCGGGCCTTTGAGGCCATCTCCTTTGAGCATCTTCGACGCCACTGGACGACCTCCAGCGAGCCGTTCGTCGCCATCTCTGGGGTTTCAGTCGACCTCTTCAGCGCCTACTGTGAGGATGACGAAGACGCTCCGGTCGCGCTGCGCTTTGTGGACCTCGTCGACGGCGACACTTACATCACGGGCTATGCTTCAAGCACGCACGAGGCGGTCATCGACAGATTCAAGAGCGCGTTCCTCCGAGCTACAGGCGACGGCGATGAGGTGGCAACGCGCGGTTCGTTCACGGCTTCACGAGGCCGAGGCATCAAGAAGAAGCAGGCCGACGCCACCTTTGGTCCATTGCGCCAACCGCCCAACCGAGTCGAGCCGCCGCCGGTCGATGAAGGACCACAGCGCGTGTTGCTTGACGTCGGGGACTGGGTGACGCTGGCCGTCGAGGTCGGCCACTATGAGACGTGGAATGGGCTCGAAGTCGCGGGCAACTGGTGGTCCCACTACGTCGGCGTCAAGTACGTGCTTTTGATGCAAGTCAACGCAGCTGCAACACAGCTGGCGTACCAATTGTATGAGATCTCGCAGGTAGGCTCCCTGCCCCCGGCGTCCCGACGCGGGTCCATGACGCTGGACAACATCGCCGATGCAAAGTGCCCGACCCTCCGCTTCGACACGCGCGTGCTGCTTGTGATTCCTCCAGGCGAGCCGTTGCCAGCGAACATGAACGACTACTGCTACGTGAACCTTCTTCGTGTGCTAGAAATCGCCCGTCGTATCCTTTACCAGCCCGCGCAGAGGCTGGTGTACGAGCGCTAAAATGGAACCAAAACTTCATCAATAGAAGGTTTCAGTTTGTGTGTCCAAGCGTCGATACCAATGCAACCGTCCAATCAACGTGGTACGAAATTCTGCCCATTCGTTGACTGTTTGACCATGGCTGTCTGTCAACAAGGCAGATTTGAGACGTTCACGTTAAAATAACGATATGGGGGTATGACGTGGCGCTTGGACATGCCAGCATGAGATACATGGGTCAAGAGCGAGGTCCACATACAGTATGCGTATAGATCCTTGTCCAATCAAGGTCACTCACTTTTCACAACGACACAGCGATATATGAACCGACTACTCGACTCGTGTCTCCTAGAGCTTTGGGAGAGATGACGCCCGGGGGGACAAGTGCCGAGGGCTGCTGCTGCCTTTGGAGGGTTCCTTACGACGCTCCATGAGGGATTGCACAAGGTCGACGCCGTAAATATTCTCGAGCGGATCTATCGTGCCAGTATTCGTTAGCGGTTGGATAGGGATGCAATTGTAGTACCTCGTATCGTTGGTTTGCTGCTCTTTTTGGATTTCGCTTTGCTCATCGTGGGCAGCCCTGGGACTTGCGGGTGGTGTACGAGCGCGCCTGCATCCTTGGTGTTGTTGCTTACATCGACGAGTAGTGTCGAGGTCGCCTCGGGCAGCGACCCTTCGATGAGGCCACGGTCCGACACGACGACGCTGTAACCGAGATCTTGGATGCCAGCTGCAAGCGAGCGCAAGCCCTGGGGCGAAATGTAGTTGTCTTGGAGAAGCACCTTGGCTATGCCTTGGGCTTTTAGAAGCGCCACGAGCGATGGCACCCCGGCGTCCGTCACGCGATTGCCGCGCAAGTCGATGGTGCCCATCGCGGTGCCTTTCTCGGCGGCCGTGCGGCTGACGTAGGCAGCGATGTACGGCAGCTCGGCATCCGAGACCCAGCAGTCGCTCAAGTTGATTCCACTGCTGGACGGTGCCACGTACGCAAGGTACAAGAGCTTGCTTTTCCCTACATAGTATGTTGGACGATGGGACTAGAGAAGTGACGCAAAACTATACCTTTTTGTTCGAGCAAACACTCGCCGCGAAGTTGTTCGAGCTGCGTCTCGAGGTGCTGCACCTTCTCGACAAGCGCCATATGGTCACGATGGCAGCTTTGCAGCACTGTTGAGGACTCATGCTGCATTCGGTTGAGTTGTTCTTGCAGGACCTTGCATGTTCAGGTGATGTCAAGTGCAAAGTGAACGTGGCGTGCGCGAACCTTGTAGTCCATCTCGGTGCTCACGCGCAGCTTCGTCTCGCGGTTCGTTTCGGCCACGAGGCGGTGGATACGATCGAGTAGCTGGTGCTTCTCGGCTGTCGCGCTCTCGAGCTCGTGAGCATGCGCCTTCTTGGCCGCAACGGCATCTTGGGCATCCTTGTGAAGTTTTTCAATGTAGCTCTGAAGTTCGCGCACTTGTGCTTCCAGTGCACTTTGGTGCTGTGCGAGCTCGGTCGTGTCGGTCGTATACTTTAATTGAAGTGCGTCGTATGCCGTCTGGACGCGGTCCAGCACGCCTTTCGTGTCTTCTTTCCACCGCTGCGCGTCGTTGTACAAGCGTTCGACGTGGAGCATGCGCGCGCTCGTGGCGTCGAGCGTCTCGCGTGTGGTCTCGACAGCGTGCCGAAGTTCGTGCACTTCAGATTCGCGTTCCTACACCGCCACTTGTTCATCAAATGGACGAAATATACTGTTGCGACGACTTGAAGTTTGAGCGTGAGCTCATACTGTTTGTTGCGCCGAAGGACGAGCTCCTCTTGGATCGACTCGACCTCGAGACGAGTCGCGTGCCGGAGTTCCGTCAGTTCTTGTCGGACCTTTTCGCGCTCTTTTTGAACCTTCTCCAGCGTACTCGCGAGCGACGACGACTGCCGCTCCACCGACTTGCTCTTGAGCTGGTACTCGATTTCGACCTAGCATGAACAAGCTAACATCCTCGACCTCGATTTTAGCACGGCTCGTACGGCCACCGACGCGGTCTTGAGCGACGACGAGGCTTCCTTTGCGTGCTGGAGGTCGAGCGTTAACGCCGCGACCTCGGCTTGCAGCGCTTCCGTCTATGCTCGCTGCTCAAACGCCACACAAGCATTTGTTGGCTCGTACTTTGGCCTCTTGGGCTTGCAGACACTGCAGCAGCTGGGTGTTTTGCTTGGTGCTGAGCTCGATCGCAAACTCACGGCCTTGGGCCTGCTTGGCATTCGCCTCGAGGGACGCGACGTGGCGCTCGAGCTTTTCAATCTTGCGTGTGCTGCGGTAAAACTCCATTTCTTTCGCGCTGAGCGTGGTCTGCAGTTGGTCGACCTCGGCTTCGACTGCATCCAGCTGCGCCCGTAAAGCGTCGTTGGCGGCCGTCACCAGCGCGAGCTCCTTTGCTTTGGCCGAGATGGCGTCGTCGCGCAGCGAAATGAGCTGGTTCTCGGAGAAGTCTCGTGCCGACAAGCACGCGTCGGCAAAGATAGGTTTCTGGGCCTCGCGATCGGCCTGCGCTTTTTCATACCGACGCAAGAGGACGTGGAGACGGTCGATCTCGGTCTGCAGACTCGTGTGCTGCGTCTCGGCCTCGGCGACGGCCGCGAGATGCTGTGCACATGCCTACAACGCCGTGCGATATCCAAGCAAGAGTGAAATGAATTGCATTCTACCGTGTCTTTGGCCTCGAGCGCGGTCCGCAGACTCTCAAAGTCGACTTCGGACGTGGCCAGTTGCGCCTTGAGCTCGTCGACAATCGACTGCTGCAAAAGGAGCTGCGCGCGCAACGCACTCGAGGCTTTGACCTGCAGTCGCATCGTACCGAACAGTCTTGCTGTCAGAACAGAATGACCTGGTCCGACGTGGACGACGCATTGTCTCGCAGCTCTCGCTCCAGCCCTTGGATCGTCAAGTCGCGCTGGTCCAGCTGCGACGTGAGCCGGGCCACCTCTTGTGTGAGCGCGCCGACTTCAATCTGGAACGCTTTCGCCGTCTCGTTCAAGAGCACGATGACGCGGTCCTTCTCTTCGAGGCGGGCGTCCCCACTTCCTTCCGAAGACAACGAAGTAGTTGGAACCTCGCTTGGCGCAAGTGACGTCATCGATGACGCGCGCTGGGCGACGGCCAATGCTATCGCTGACGAATCCAGCGTACTCGACGACCGCGCAAAGGATTTGAGCGATGCTTTGGCCTCGTCCGAGAGCGGCGGGGGCTTCCCCGACATGTATGTCGATGTCGGCTCTATCGCACTGAAATGAAGCGCGTGAAACGAAGCGTTTCGTAGTTAGTCGAACAACCTAATAGACTAACTACAGATGGACTTGAACGCGTCCATCGAGGCGCTGTCGGTGGCAAAGCGTCGCCAAACACCAAACACGTGCCGTGGATTAACTTGGCGCCGAGTCGCACAGTGCCCTTCCATGCCTACGTTCGAGTGGTCTTCCTTGTTGCAGCCATTCGTGGAACAGAGAGACTCGATCCAACCCTTGGTATAACACAGGCAAGGAAGCCAATGAGGATGCCAACCGGCATCGTAAGCACTTCGCCCGTCTCGACCACCGAGGCAGCCCACGACATGCCCAGCTAGAGACAGAGACCGTATACAGTGCGGGCCAATATGATAGGTTCAGCCGTCTTTTTGTGACAGCCGTTACAGTTTTTCACCAACAAGTGTGAAAAGGGTGGCAATCGAAAGCTCTTGCCACAAGCGATCGATTGCCACCGGAATTGGTGAAAAAATGTTGGAAATTGGCGGAGGAATCGCTACTCATGGGTTTTGGACC